CGTGTGAAGAGATGCTCGTGAGACCGGACGTGCAGCGCAAGTCCAGCCTGAGGCCCCAGCCACGGAGCAAAGCCAACTCAGCCCACTGCTCTGTGGACGCCTTACAGAGCATTTATTGCGTGTCGAACCCTCATTCGTCGCCACGTAAGTGGTAGGGCAATAGTAATGATGGCTGCACGAGAATACGCTGCAGTAGCAAAGCAAGAGGCATGCGCGAGTACGCCCCTATGGAACCAAAAAGTTGAGAGCTGGAACAGCCAGAAGTTAGTAGTCAGTAAAGCTTCAGCCACAGCCTTCCGATCAATGCAGCATACTATTCGCGTGTCACGAAGAAAGCTCTTCATGACAAAGCATAGTTTGTCTCCCTGTCTTCTGGGTTATTCTCTCATGCTTGTTGTGTGGGACGTTGGGGCGGGGGCTCAGATGGCCATGGCGGCGGTCTTGGAATGGGGCTGGAAGTGGCATGGCACGGAAGAAGGATAACTCGTGTTCGAAGCAGCCGAGCAATACTGATGCCCCACAAGAGCAACAAAATCATGCTCTCAAGGCTTGGCTAGCAGAACCAAGCTCCGAAAACCCCCAAACCCAGGTTCCATCTTTTCGTGTCGTTTTGGAAGTGTCGCAGCAACCACGGCTCGACATCATCCAGGCGACGTCCGCTGCCTCGACTGGCTGCCCGCCTGTCAAGGACCAAAACGAAACCTGCATTTTCAGCGAGATATCGTAATCAATATTGGTTCATCGTTATGGAACTCAAACGAAGCTCCTGAACATGTAGCACTAGCATGCGTTCCTCACAAAGGTAACTAAAGTTCAGCACTGACCCAGGCCCAGCATGATGACTGATTTCAAGGCGCCTGATTTCAAGCAGCATAGCACTGCAAAGGAGACAAGAACCCTTCGTTCTACCTTCCCAGCACACTGCGAGGTCGAGTTCAGAAACTGCAGGGGAGCATAAACCCTGTACTCCCTGCCCAGAATCAATGCTGCAACCTTTAACTGCAGCTTCTGGAGGTCTGTCGCTAGCAGCTAGCAGAACTCAAGATCGAAACAAACTCGAAGGCCATCGAACACTTTACGATGCACTCTCGGTTGTGAGTGCTCGAAGCCCTATAGGTCTGAGGCCCTACTGTCATAGTAGGCATACAGATGTTCCAATAATCTTGTCCGTGAGAACAACCCGCAAAGGGGCTTTCTGAGGCCTCATGGACATGGCTGCTGGCCGGAGTGGCGGAAACCGTTTCCGCCATGAAAGTGTCTTAAGCGTCTTAAGGTTTAGGGGGGGTTGTTTTCAGCATTGAGGGTTTAGCGCTTTCGGGTTTAGGGGTTTATATCAGAGTACGGGGTTAAGGGTTGAGGCCTTAGGGTCTAGAGGCGCAGGGTTTAGGGGCGCAGGGGTTTAGCGTTCTGTTGAATGCTTTTGTTTGGGGTTTGGGGTTTAGGGGGCTGGGCTTAGAAGCTTTTGTTAGGATGCAGCGCCTGAGCATGCTGGGCTCACCGTTGTAGGGTATCTGATCGTGTGGGGCTTAGGGCTTGGGGCTTCCAGCTTCCAAGGTCGAAAGTATGGTGTTTAGTCTTCAAGTCTTGGCGGCTCGGGATTAGAGTACGAGGTTCCGCATAGTTCAAGCGGCAGAACGTCACGGTTGCTAAGCTCTTGTATCAGCAGCCCGCCAAGTCAGAAGGATGCTTCAGAGCCTTTGGACCTATAAGTAACAGTTGGTTGCGGAGCAAAAGTTAGAACCACCGCTTGGATAGTTGGGTTGCGTGGAACCTGGCAACAAATACTCTCTGCTTTGCAACCTCTGAGCATGTACATGGATCCACTTCAAAAAGCTGCGCATGCAAACCTCTCTCTTGACGGAGCCCAGAACCCAACAAGGATTGCTCCTGGGCTAAGGTAGCTTATGCCGCTGTCTTTTGTTTCAAAGGCACGCCTGCTCTGAACAGACGGGGGCCGTTCTGTCAAGCAAAAACATGAACCTCGCAAGATTAGCCCGGCGCCGCAATACCTTGTCAACCCTACACTTGCAGCGCACTACCAGGGCACGCTCCTCAGTACGGCATTTGAGAACCTTCCCTGGTTCTGCGCAGGTTTGGAAAAGCCTCTGTGAAAGTGCTGGTGCCGTCGGATGATTGGCATTTGTTTGCCCAAGCCTGCATTTGAGGGGGCCCGTCCGATACCAAGATCTTATAAGGTCCGACAGCTACCCCGAGTGTACCTATGATAATAACAAGTGCCTGCTGCAAGAAACATGTCGGGCCTCCTGAACCTCTTCGAGGGCGGCTTTCACCTGTGGTTGTCACAACAAGCTGAAGGGTGGGGATGTAAAGCTGCAGGCCCTGCTGGTGACCAAATGCCAGGTGGCCTACTGGGAAATCCTCTGTGCATTTTGAGCCACGATTCATACTTTGCGTTCGCGTTGTGTCTCAGTGTTTACAACAGTTCCACTTTCTCTGTTGCATGAGTTCAGGCCTCCTTTGTATGTTTCCCCTGGACATTTGCACATGTTGTAGGATGACTTTGGCTTTCGGTCTTGTCACTTTGTTGTTGAGTTGGGAGGATCATAAGGTTCTTGTTAGTGTTGGTTCTTGCCACCAGAAGTGCAAGCCCAAGACCTGAAAACCCGCTCCCTACTCCGCCTGACCCCGAGCCTGTACAGCAGTGCAAGCCCAAAACCTCAAGCCCTGCTCCCAGTCCCGTAACTCTACCCCACTCCCATGAACCTAATCTCCAGCAAGCCTGAAGTGGTCTCAGACCCTTCGCCCCCAAACACATGCAGTCCTAAAGCCCCCAAGCATACAGCATAGCGCGCGGCGAAATGCACGCCGCATACAAAATAGTAAAGAAGCGTGAGCAAGGCCCAGAAAGCTTCCATGCAGCACTTTCCAACACACCCTCAAAATCTCGAACCCAATCCTCACCTGAACTATCAGAGAAGCCACGTCCCGACGACCAAACACCCAAACCCCATTAGCCCCATCAACACCTAAACTTCTGAAAGTCTAAACCACTTTGAGTGGCCTCCACTTCGTGGTCGAACGGGACCACCGCCGGCTGTGCCTCAAGGACCCAGGACACTCTCAAGATGCTTGTCTCTGGGGTGCCGATGCGTGAATTTCTCTCAGAGCCATGTCATCAAAGGGTCAAGAAATGAAACACTGGCTTGGGGTGCTTTGGCCGTGGCCTCATCCAAGACGGTCTTGGGCACCTGAGAGTTCGAGCGGGCTTGGGGAGCCACCGACCGACGGGGAGGGCTGATCATCGCAATGGACCTGCAGCGGCACGCATAAGACACACATAAGACTCGTATAACAGCCGCGCAAGAAAGGAGCCAGTCATAGTCAGTCATTGTCCACATTGGAGCCTTGACCTACTATGAAGCATACGACATAGCTTTAAAACGTCATGATCATCGAAAGAAGAAGAGACGCGAACCTCTCGCGAGTTTACCTCCATCTTGCTGTGAGGTGAGAGGAAGCTGAAACCCGCTGCACCTCTGGCTATTAGTCTGTAGATAGCATGTTTCGGCTGGGGCTCAATTAACAGCCCCTGGAATGAACCGTCTCCAAAACCAAACCATTCGATCATCGAGACATCCTGGGGCTCAGGTTTGCGTGCTGCTTCTCCTGGGCCGGGCGCCTCCCACTGACCCAGGCCCTGGACGAAGTCCCGAAGAGCTGCAGCGTTCAGGGTGCTTCCTGGCAGGACGTAAGAATTTCATTGGACCTCAAGTGTCTCTGACTGACATGGCCGCTGCGGAGACTTGATCCTGAACCCTGAAACATTATTGCTGCTAACACCAATCATCACCATAGCCCTTGCTGCAACTGCGACCTGTTTTGCGACCGTTATCAGGTATAATAAACATCATTGTCATTAATATCATCATCCGCCATGAGATCTCAAGCTCTGAACCGTCAAACCCCAAACACTGAGACTGAGACCCATGAGCCCTTGGCTTGAACCCCGAAACTCATATCCTACAGCCATTGAGGCATCTCGGAACCCAACCTGTAGACCCTTGATGCTGACACCCGGAAGAATGAACCCACAAACCCTTCAGCCTGAAGACCCTTACCTGAGCCGCGAACCGATAAGCTAGAAACCGCGTCCTGAGTCCAAAACCCACAAGCCCACGATCCAAAAACTAACAGTACACACCGTGAAGCCTAACACCATTGGCTCTCAACCCCATACACCTAGCTCCAAGCCCCAAGCCGCCCCAAATTTCCAAATCCTAAACATCCCGAAACCCTAATCCCGATACCCTGCAGCCCTAAAAGCCTGAGAGAACAAGGCACGGCCTGGAGGATGAAGATTCGCCAGACCCGTCGGCTCCGGAAGTGAGGTCAAGGGAGCCCTCGGTACTCTCTTCATGGTCTCAGGGATCGAGGCCCCAAGGAATCATTTGCAAATACCGTTCTGGGGCTTCAAGGTCGGAGTTGTCATGAAGGAGCTTTGGGTGGGGCTTAGCTGGCTCCGGGTGTAGGTGCTTTGTATTTCCTTTCATGGCTTTAGGGTTTAGAGCCTCGGGGGTCTGTGGTTGACGGAGTTGGTCTTTGTTAGAGGAGTGGGCTTCAGGGCTTTACTTTTTCTTCCAGGGATTTAAGGCCTTACCATTAGGATTCGTGCTGTCATCCTTGTTCATGGAACGGGTGCTTGTAATCAGGGGTCAGATTCATGGTCTGATAATGGCCATGCTCTAGAATCTAGAATAGGGCGATGGCATTGCTGACTGGTCATGATTATGTTGATGGTTCTGCTGATGACGATGGTGAGCAAGAGGAGGAGGAGATGGCGTAGGAGTAGGAGTAGGAGTAGCAGCAGCAGCAGCAGTAGCAGTAGCAGTAGCAGTAGCAGCAGCAGCAGCAGCAGCAGCAGCAGCAGCAGTGAGGAGCAGTAGCAGCGGCAGCAGCATAAACAGTGGCAGCAGCTGCAGCATCAGCAGCACTACTATTAGAGAATGCCTTGTGGTAACGCGAACACGGTTCGCCCTGACTCACTTCACATGCCAGCTTCTCAGCGAAGGGCCCTTCCCCTTGGTCTTGGTGAAATATCCTGGGCTGACGTCCGAACCCCCTCCTGAAAATAGCCTCCATAATAGACACAAAAACAAGTAAACCAAAAAGCTAAATTCTAACAGACCTTCAGGTATCCTGTCGGCGCACGGAGGACCGAGTAGCGGTTTTCATCCTTCTTGGGCAGCATGAAGTCGAGCTGTGCCCTTGGCACCGTTGATGTGAAACACTTACCTACCTACTGGCCTACCTAATCAGGATCTCCAGCACATAAGCTTAGTAGTTGCAGAGATTCCAAAATAGATAGTTTCGGAAGAACTGCCTGGAACACCAACAACTACGACCATGACTATACGTGGTGTTCTCCGCAATTACTGTGAGAAACCCGCCACCACACGACCTGTCCCACTGGCTCTCTGGAAGTCGGATACTCGTTCGACCATTCCGACGGCGTAACGCCGAATCTTGGAGTTTAGGGGCTACGTGCAAAAAAGAATGCAACGAAAACCCTAAAGGCCCTAAAGCATCAAAGCTAAACTCATGGTCAAGGTGCCGCTCCTGCGGGTGCACAACAGGACATGCCGGGAGGCTTTCGGGTTCCAGGTACTGTTGGGGCCAGCATAGTTTAGGGCTTTTAGGGCTTTAGGGCTTTAGGGCTTTAGGGTTTTAGGGTTTTAGGGTTTAGGGTTTAGGGTAGTTAGACTAGAGTCCTGGAGTACATTGGTTAGTTAAACACAATATTTGCCACAGAATAGTAGTAGCAGTTACTGAGGCTTCTACACTACAAGCCTTGCCAGCACGTAGTGCCTGCACATACAAGGGTAAGTAACTCAATGTCACACTATGCAAGTATACCAGAAGAACCTCAGATAGCTTTACTAAGATGCAGGGCAATACTTAATTGCTAGAGTATACAATTGCAGCAGGTTCAACTTCACGAGCTCCTCATGACCCAAGTAATTGGTCTTAAGAGCCCTGAACATGTCCGCAGTCATCATGAGTCTAGAGTATCTTCTGTAGCAAGACTTACCCATGCCATGTACAACACTAACCTCTAGAACGCCCGACAACTTGAAACCCCGAACTGGCCTAGAATTTCCGAGCGCCGAAAGACCTCGAAACACTTCACCCGCTACACCTGAATTCGGACCCGCAAAAAGACAATTCTCATACAGACATCACAACAACAACAACAACAACCACCAAAGCTCCAAATGCAAAGTTAACAACAACAGCATAGCTAAGCCCTACTGGTGTGGTCAAAAATTCAACTGCTTGCGCACATCATCCGGCATCTTCGGATGGCAGCCTGCCGTGAAGTACACGACCGAGAAGCGGTTGCCTTCGAAGTCCTCCACCTTGCGGTTTAAGGCTTTATAGGGTTTAGGGGTTAGGGTTTTAGGGTTTAGGGTTGAGGGCTTTAGGGCTTTAGGGTTTTAGGGTTTACGGCTTAGGGTTTAGGGTTTTAGGGTTGAGCTCTTGACAGTTAGATGTCTGGGAGTTGCGGTTTGTGATTTAGGGTTTGGGGGCCTAAGGCCTCGGGTTCGGGGTTTGAACAATGGGAGCTAGGATCAAAGTATGGGCTAAAGATGGCTGAGGGTTTTCTGCTGAGGATAGTGAAGAAATCGGATGCTAAAGCCTTAACCCCCAAGCCCCATAAAGCTCACGAGACATCTGTGTACCACGCCACATCGGCTTCTTGTGCATCTCTGCGGTGCTGAGGAGATAAACATTCACCAACAACTGTAGGGTCCAGGTTTTGACTTTTCGGGTAAGCTTTTCGGCCGTTTATGTCATAGGATTCAAAGCTTGACTCATGTTGGCATGAAGGGCAAAATCATATTCGGTAACTATTCGGGCGCCCTAAACCCCATAGGCCCGACCACTGCCGGCCTCATGGGCCGTGTTCCCGTTAAACAGCGCCAGGTTCTTCGAGATGTCCAACGTGACCTGAAGACAAGGCAGAGTTTAGTTTATTGGGTTTAGAGTTTAGGGTTTAGGGAAACGGGTTTAGAGTTTAGGGTTTACTGTTTAGGGCTTGTGGCCCCGGCACGAGGCCAATAAAGTGATTCTCGTCACCAGGACGGTGGACAGAAGACACGGGAGACACCCGCAGCAGCCCAAACCCCGAAAGGAACCACACCACGCACTGACACCATGAGCTGGGGGTAGGGGGGCCGGCCCACCAATGGAGGGACGGGGGTGGACGGCCGAACCGGCATCATATATCAGTGAGTGTAAGTGCGTGCGTGCAAGCATGCATGACTGCATGTGTGCGTGCGTGCGTGTGTGCGCAGGTCTCTGTGTGTGTGTGTGTGCCTGTGTCTGTGTCTGTGTCTGTGTCTGTGTCTGTGTCTGTGTCTGTGTCTGTGTCTGTGTGTCTCTGTGTGTGTGTGTGTGCGTGCATGAGTGTGTGTGTGTGTGCATATGTATGTGTACACAGATAGATAGATAGTTAGATAGAGACTCAGAAAGACAGATATAGATAGCTAGCAAGTCTGTGCGCGCGTGTATGTGTATATATATATATGTACACACATACACACACATGTATATATACCTGTGCGCATGAAAGTATGATGTAAATGTCAATGAGCGAATGAACGAATGATCGAATGAATGAATGGATGAATGAATGAATGAGTGATTGAGTGAATGAATAAGTGATTGAACGAGTGACTGAATGAAAGAAAGTATGAAAAAGTGAGTGAATGAGTGAATGAGTGAGTGAATGAATAAGTGAGTGAACGAGTGACTGAATGAAAGAAAGTATGAAAAAGTGAGTGAATGAAATAATGAAAGGATGAATGGATGAATGAATCAATGAAGGAGTGAACGAATGAATGAAAGGATGGATGCATGAACTAATGAGTGAGTGAATGAAAGAAAGAATGAGTGAGTGAAAGACTGACTGAATGAATGAATGAATGAATGAATGAGTGAATGCATGAGTGAACGAACGAGTGAATGAATGAACGAAAGAATGAATGAATGAGTGAATGAATGAAAAGTGAATGAATGAGTGAATGAATGAACGAAAGAAAGAATGAATGAGTGAATGAATTAACGAACGAATGAACGAATGAATGAATGCATGAATCAGCGAACGAACGAACGAATGAATGAATGACCGATGGGAGGAAGGAAAGACCGCATGAAATAACACATGAAGGAACGACTGAGCGAATGAAGAAACGAATGAATTGATGAATGAATGAAAGAGTGCATAGTGAGTGAGTGAGTGAGTGAGTGGATAAGGAGGGAATGAAGGAAATCACCAAGGACTGAAACAACGAAAAAATGATGACATGATCAAAGGAAGGAAGGAAAGCAGGAAGGAACGATTGATCGAACGGATGATGGAACGAACGAATGAACCAATAAAGGAATCAAATAATTAATGAACGACGGAGCGAGTGAACGAATCAATGAAAGAACTAATTAGTGAACGAAGGAAGGAAGGAATAAACTTAACAAGCAAAGGAATAAAACGAACGAGTGAACGAACGAATGAATCAATGAATGAACTAATAAATGAAGTTTCGAATGCACGTACTCCATGTATGTACTTACGTATGTACGTACGAACGTATGTATACATGCATGCATGAATGGAAGAGTGGATGGGTGGATGGATGTAAGAGTATGTGCGTCTGAAACATATGCCCCTAAATTCCACAGCCTATACACAAGCGGCAATAGAAACGCTGTTCTGCGACAAACATACACACACACACACTCTCTCTCTCTCTCTCTTTCTCCGCCTCTCGCCACTCCATATACATACATGCATGCGTAAATATATGTATACACACACACCCCATCTATATGGACATGATAAGTCTTATACTACACCCATGTCCGGCTACGCACTCAAGTAACAACCGCTACTCGCCTTGCGACATACTATGTCGGTCGGTTCCCCGGCCTTCCGAAAGGTCAACCTTCAACAATGCCAGGCTATGCAAGCCCGAAGGTTGGTAAAGTCTACGCTATGTTGTATTCCCAGACCTATAGTCCTTAAACCCAGAAGCTGAAATAAACCCCCAAAAATCTGAAGTCCCTTACAGAACCTTAGAAGTCCTGGCCCCTAAATCGTATTTCGCAACACCCAGCAAACCCTGAACCCTAGATGCCAAACTCATCACCGGATGATCTGAGCTTTCCTGAAATGTATTGATATGTCAGAACACCGTGTGTACGAACCCAAACAATATTCGTTCGACAAGGATCCTATGGATCCCTACCTTAATAGTATTGGTTTCAAGAAACCCTCGAACCCTAAACTTTTTGAGCACGGCGCTCTAACCCTAAACACCTATTTCTCAATGCCTTGCCTTCTTGTCGTAGGGAAGTGCCTTGAGATTCGTTGACTTGTCGTCCTCCGGCCATACCGACAGCTCTCCGCCCTTGTAGTCTCCAAAAGCCTCCAACGTGTTTTCCCTCTAGGGCTGGGTTTAGAGTTTAGGGTTTAGGGTTTAGGGTTTAGGGTTTAGGGTTTAGGGTTTAGGGGTTCCCTTAAGGGTTCCTTGAAGGGCTCCTTTAAGGGGTCAATAGGGCTCTCACAACTCGGACAAGACAGGCGATAGGGGGTTTAGGGCTTTTCTGGTTCTCCTGCTTGTAGGGGTGTCATGGTTTGGGGCTGAGTTAAGGGCTTCATGGCTTAAAGTTTAGGGAAAGTTTAGGGCTTGAGGGTGAATGGTCCCGAGCCGACGACCTATAAACCCCAGTGAAATGGATAAGCCGCGAACCCGAAAGCTAGGTCCCAGGCCCAGAGCTTGTCTATAGAGCCTATGCGGTTCATACTAACTACGAAGGTGAGGGAAGACAATCAAAGGCCGCAAACCGAACTACGCACTAAACCCAAACCCACATCAACCGACCAGAAACCACAGCTACACTACCGCCACAAGAACCAGCACCAGCACCCGTACAGCTGCACAAACGCAACCACCGATAACACCTCCGCATCCACACCCAACAACTGCGAACTGTAACACCAAAAAATAACTGCGAAGATAACAACGGAATCAGCATCAACGAACCGAGGTTTCCGCATCTGTGTCGGGGCTATCCCTATATGACCAGCACGAACAATCTCAACGCAGACATTCCTCAGCATGTTGAGCACGACACCCGGCTTTGCAAACGGATAAGGGCACGACTAGACATGAGGATAGGGCTATCCCAGAGGGTCCGAATACCCAAATAATAAGGTTTTAAGTCCCCAGATCCATACTCTGAGTGGTTTTTGGACCTTGAAACCCTACTATTTGGATACTCGGACCCTTAGGCCTTAGGCTATGTAGTGAACAAATGAACATGACAAACCTGAAACCTGAACTCCAAACAAACTGCTCAGCTCAAAAGCCTTCATGCTCAGTTAAACGCATGCTCAACCCGAAACCCTAGGTTCTCGTTTAAGGGATTGAATTTAAGTTACCATAATAGGGGTCTATAGTAAATAATATGGTTTCTTTATTATGGTAACTTAGATTAAACCCCTTAGTTAAGAAGAACCCGAAACCCTGAACCCCAAGTCCCCAAAACTTACATTCCCTGGGTTCTTGTTAGGGGATTTTTATTTAAGTTACCATAATGGGGATCAATTTTACATAATATGGTTTCTTTATTATGGTAACTTAAACAAAATCCCCGAACAAGAGCCCAGTTCCAGTTTTGCAGTGTAGGTGTCGCCTTGATCATCGAAGGGCCGAAATTGTTTCCATCTCGGTGCCGCCGCGCTGCATAGTTGCAGTTCAAGTTCCTTATGACCACAGGGCTTATATGGTTTATGGTTTAGGGTTTCACGCAAAGGAACCAGGTTAAGGGTTTGGGGTTGTATGCAGTTCACAGCCCTTTACTTCCAGGAGGAACATAGGACACCATGAAAGGACACAAGCAAGGATTGTTCGGGATGCTCAAGATTACTATGAGCCCGGCCCCTTCAACCAAAAAAAAACCCTAAACCCTAAACCCTAGTTTAGGGTTTAGGGTTGATCGATCTGTGGGTGTACACAAAAAACAAATCATAACAAATGGCTCTGAATGTAAGATCCAGAGTTTCAGGCTCGTGAACTTGAAGTGCTTCGCCTCTTTGGGGAGCTTGCCGTGCAGCCAGCGCGCGATGATCCTGGATTCTCCACTATACCCATATTCCCCTGAGTAGTTCCTGTTTTTTGTGGTTTATTTTTTGTGGTTTATAATAAGAATCCTATAAGGTAATCCCAAACAGGAACTGTTTGGGGGCCTATGGGTAGTAAGTGTTTGGGGACATTAGGGTTTACTGGGGGTGTTCATAACTAGAACAGGTTTTCGGTATAACTACAACAGGGTACATCGAGCAAATGAAAGACAGGCGACAGGCTCAGGTAGTATGTGCGATACACGGAAACAAACAAAAAGTCTCCCACCAAGCTGCCATGCCCCGCTGAACAGTAAACCTGAACATACTTGCAACTTGTAGCAAGGATCTTTGCCACATTTGGGTATTCCCTGGCCGGGCGTGTGACGATCAGCTTGCCACCGCGATCCCTCAGCAAGCCCAGCGTGTCGCTCTTCACCCACCTGAGCTGGTGTATGCCGTCTAACGGCACTTCCGGTCCCACGCAAGATCCCGGCCAAGCCACTCTCTTGCGAACAAAGTACTTTCGAGTTGCTACAGAAAAAGGTCACGGGTAAACAAAGTGGCAAACATGAGTGCGCCATTCAGAGACAGGAGATAATTACGAAACATGTAGGGTGCGAGTGCGTTCAAACGTATGCACACACGTATGCACATGGCTATTCATCTACCAATCTGTCCAACTGCTACATCCATCTATCTATCTAACTACCTACCGGCCCATCAATGTAGCCATCTGTCTCTCTACTTTCTATTCGGTGTACATAGATTCATAGATGAAGGCAGACCAAGCGATACACACAAAAACCACAGACGGATGCATAGGATGCATGAAAGCGCTAAGGCAGTTTGCTGTGTGAGCCTACCACGTAAATCAATCTAAATGTGTGCGGCTGTATGCCAAATTATGCAAACACGCATCTGAGCCATGCATGTCCTTGAAGATCCGCTTGTTCGATCTTGTTGGCAGTCGTTTTGCTCGGCTCTCAACATATCTATCGGTGCGTGTGTGTGTGATGGCATGGCTAGTAATTGTGACCGATAGTTAAGGGAGCTCTGTTCTGATTCATGGGCTTCCTGTCAAGGCATCCTCCATCTTCCAGTAAGGTATACGAAAATTCATGAGGACCCCGGTTACCGCACCAATTGAGAAAACCCCAGATTGAACTCTCTGGGACTCCCACTCTCAACTCCTCCCCCCTCAACTCCGTGCCAAACACCCTGGACAGGCTTCGAAAGAGATCATGAGGCGTAGCAGTTCGATGACATGGCGCGGTTATATGTACCCTAACTTTGGGGCGGTGTACCGTGGAGTACATGACCCTACTTACTACCTTTACACTGCTTGCTAAGTTTCCACGAGCTGCTTAGTACACCCTAATTAAAAACATCCCGCTACTCATCCAGCTCAAAACCTGGAGCCCCAAAAACCCAAAACACCAAAGCCCTTAAACAAAATCTGCTAAAGTTCAGGTACACCCAAACAAAAACACGAGGCCCTGACACGAAAAAAGCCGCGAAGAAACACCCTAAACCCTAAACCCTAAACCCCTACACCCTAAACCCCCCCTGTTGCATTAAGCCGCTGCTGGCCCTGCGGCATGACGTTGACCCTGAACGGGTTCTTGGCGAAGGCCCAGCACTTCAGAATCCTGTCGCTTTTATTTATTTACTTTTTTTTTTGGGGGGGGGGGTGG